GGTCTTTTCCCCTTAAACTTTCCTTTTTGATTCCCAGAGTCTTCTAGGACTATCACCATCTCTGCAAAGAGGCCAGAGTCTCCAACTGGTGAGTAAGTGGTCTTCTCTGGACCCTCTTCATTCCCACCCCTGTGTCTTCCCCTAAATTTGACTGCTTTCCTTGTACAGAAGCTACAGCTCTATGAACTTGGGTCCTGGTTCATAAAATATTAAGGGGAGGGTAAATATCAGGACTTGGAACTCAGAATTGGGCAACGAGATCAGGTGGGAAGGTTGAGATAAATTTAGACAGCCCAACTCTGTAGTTCATGCTCTTATAGTCATGGGATTCTGCCTCAAAAGTGCATGCATTCAGGAAAGGGGCAGGAACAGGGCTACGGGAGATGGTCTTTTCCCCTTAAACTTTCCTTTTTGATTCCCAGAGTCTTCTAGGACTATCACCATCTCTGCAAAGAGGCCAGAGTCTCCAACTGGTGAGTAAGTGGTCTTCTCTGGACCCTCTTCATTCCCACCCCTGTGTCTTCCCCTAAAGCTGACTGCTTTCCCTGTACAGAAGCCACAGCTCTATGGTCTTGGGTCCTGGTTTATAAATATTAAGGGGAAGGTAAATATTATACTTAAAACTCAGAATTGGGCAGTAAGTTCAGGTGGGAAAGCTGAGATTTTTAAAGAATAAGGGAAAGGTAAATTCCATCTCTTTCCACCTCGTATAACAGTTTTTTATGCTGTAATTAGCCGAATGGCCAGGTCTCTGTGTGTGTGGAGGGGTTGCATCAGAGGTCTATGAAGCGGGTGTATGGAAGAAATTATATCTAGAGAATTGGGCTTATCTAGCCCTGACCCTTGGTGAGGAGGGGAGGAACCCTCTAGGAAGGAGACTGACATTCTAGGTAGCAGAGAATAGAATCTCAGGTGAGGGATATGGGTATGAGAAACCCAAGATGTGTCTTGAAGTGGATCCTGGAGATAGGCTTTCATCACCCCCTCCTGTATCTCTTTATTCCTCCAGGTCTTGCCCAGCAACACTATACCAAGGGCAATCTGGTCCGGATATGCATTGGGGTTGTGATTCTAATACTCCTGGTGGGGCTTCTGGCAGAAGATTGGCACAGCAGAAAGAAACCCCTGCCATACAGGGTCAGACCTATCCGCAGGCCACTCCCACCCCTCCCACAGACCCAGAGACAACACAGTCATCAGGATGGGGGTCGACCAGGTGGCCATAACCATGGGCGCCACAATTAGAACTCCAAGGCTTGGTTGTAGCTACGAGATAAGGGATGTAAAACCATGTGTGGAGTGTATGGAATGTAGGAGCAAGAGGACAGGGGTTAGGACTATGGAGAAGGAGGAACCTGGGGCCTCTCCTTGGTGTCCCATCAAGGATCTGTTGAGCCAGTGTCTACTTGGCTTTCATCCAAGGACTCCTCTCATTTGGGATGGGAAATATCTAGTGGATGCCAGTGTCTCCTCACTCACATCTTGCACATTGTGGATCTTGTAGCACCCTAACTGGACCATCATAATGACCCCTTCAACCTTCCCTAATTCATGTTCATTATTGACTTTTGTATCACCAAGTCTCATAGCTGACCCCATTCTATGCTCTGCATAAAACTCTCCCACGCTTCCTGTTGGCCCCTGTGTTTTCTCTGGGTAGCCATAGCTTAGCTGGTTAATTCAGACTCATACTTATTTCCTGAGCCTATCAGCTCAGCCTCTCTCCTAACCAGAAATATTGGGTTAAATGTGTGAGTACTCAGGGCTTTCCCCACTACACCTCCTCACCCCGAGGACACCCTTCTCCTACTCCTTGATCCCAGATGCCATTTCCTCAGACATAGGCTTTGGTTTCATCAATTTATAGCCATATCCTCCTCCTATCTTGCTCCATAGTTAATAACCACACTCACAGAATCTCTAACTCACAGGTGAAATGACCAGACTCTCCATCCCTAAACTGATGCATGCAGGCTACTCAATTTCTTTTTCCCTAAAGGGGGCAATCTCAGGGCATTTTGCACCCAAGGGATATTTGTCAGTGCCTGGAGGGAGATGCTGGTACTTAGTGGGTAGAGGGTAGAGATGCTAACACTATGAATGCACAGGACAGTCTCCCTCAAGAGTATGTTCTCTTGAGAAGCACTTAAGAATTATCTGGACCCAAGTGTCAATGGCAGAGACTGAGAAACCCTTGGTAGAAGACCTTGAGATACTTTCCTAGCTTTAAAAAATTGTGTGCCCCTATTTCTTCTTTTAACAACCCCACTTACTCCCACTGAAGGCAGCCACCACCCCTCAGACCCCGAGAATGAAGATGCTAGGAAAGACCTATATCCAGCTGAACAAGAGGCCTTAAGAGAAACAGAAGGAAACTTGTAGGAAAATCCAGGAGCCCACACTGTATGCAGGGACATCACTGAGATGATGACACACAAGCACATTAAACAGAGGTATGAATGGGATGTCTGGATATGTGGTGTATTTGGTAAGAATCATGAAACAATGGACCCCAGTGAAGAAATAGGGGAAAGTAGGATGATTGGAAGAAAAATTTTTAAAATAGTCCTTAATAAAAAGAAAGTGATTCTTACAGTTGTTGCCTTAAGAACATTTGGGATTCTGTCACAGAAAATAAGGGGAACTCTACAGGGAAGAACATACCATGAAGTAGATACCATGAAGTCATATTTTCTATAAGGTTGGAATCCGTTCAACAGAGCAAAGACATGATCATTTAAGGACTTCCCTGAAGCACTTAAGAATGCTACAATATATTGTAGGATTGGTAAGAGAACTATTCTACAAGGAAGACCTACCAGACAGCTATCCACCGAGGCAAAGGAATGCCAGAACTGGGCAGTGACTGGCAGGGTGAACAGACCAACGTGATCACAAACATTTCTGTCCCCATTTTGTTTCCAGGTTATGTTCTCCCCAAATAAAGGATCTTCTAGGTTTGGTCAGAATCCATTAAACAACCTCCTTCACGAATGCTTTCACACCTTTATTCCTCTTGATAAACTCAAGATGTAGGCATTTTATCCACAACAGGGGTAAACCATCTGTGTATGTTTCATGGAAGCCAAAAGTCACAACCAAGGCTATGGTCATATCTGGTCCAGCACCTAACATCACTGAGAAGGCTCAGAGGAAGTTCATCATCACCCTTTGATCCCAAACTTTACTGGGGAATGAATAGCTCCAGGGGATTCAGAAAATGAAGTCATGTGAAGAAGGTCGGGTAGTGGTTGGATCTTGATTATCACTCTCAATGGTCAGTTGTGGGTCATGTTCTTGGATTTCTTTCAGCAGCTTCTGGATTTGAGGATCAGATTTATCTATCTTCAACCTGGAGTTACAATGAGGCAAAAAGGTTTCTTGTTGCTTCAAGAAGATTCATTCCAAATGTTCAAGTGCCTGCAAGACTCATGGTTTAGTGCAGGGGCAGACTTTACGGGTTACTATGTGCTTCAAAGTAGGGTTCCATATTGATTCGGTAGGGAAAGAGACAATACCAGGTTAATGTTGTAGTGCTTCATGGTCTCAGGTGATCCTCATATCATGCTTGGAGAGATGGAATTGACGGATATATCTGTGAAGTAGTCCTAACACCTACCTACTCCACAGCTCACTTTGGCAACTTCTCTTTGGTAGGCCCAGGATGAAACACACAGACTTGAACCAAGTCAGACTGGACTTTAGTTCCCATTGGCTACATGATACTAGCTGACCAACACCTTTTATCTGACCTGTGCTAATAGCAGCTTTATTTGTATGATTCATCTTTTGGTAACCATATTGATCTGTGTGACATGGCAATAGGGAACGGGGTGAGGGGGAAGCAAGAGGGAATAATTAAAGCAAAAATATGTAGAGAGAGGAAGCAAGATGGCAGAGGAGTAGGGTGACCCCATTTCAACTGGTCCCCTGAACTTAGCTGGATATCTATCAAACCATTTTGAACACCTGTGAAATCAGCCTGAGATGTTAAGAATATATATCTGGATCTCTACAAGCAGAAAAGCAACTGATTTGGGCAAGGTAGGATGTGCGGAGTCCTGAATCTGTGAGGAGACATCAGAAGACAAACAGAAGGGGAGGGAGCCGCCATAAGCTGGCACCTGGAAAGTGATCTAACGCTGGACCACCAAATCAGAACCCTTAGAAACATGGTCTAGTAAGGGACACCCCTCCCTGAAGGCGGCTTTGGAAATGAAAAGGCAGAATTCTAGGTAGGACATTGTGGTGTCAGGTTATGAGGGACCACAGAGCAAAAGGAGATTCTCAAAATGGTAGAGGGCCCAAGCCTTGGAGCCAGGAAACAGGTTTCAGTCAGCAAGCCTAGGAAGGGACTCTCAGCTCAGATCGCCAGAAACTTTGAACTGGGAGGGTCAATTTCTGCTCTTTTTTTGAATAGCCTAAAAAAATCTGGAACCTGTGCCTTCAACTGGGCAAAAACTCAGCATGGTAGTGGCTGGGAAAGGGCTTTAGGGCAGAATCCAGACCTGATTCCGGAGCTTTAGGTACACACATGAGTCTACAGCCCTTTGTGGTTTTAGGAGCACAAAGGGTACAGATACTCCCGGGACCCTGCAAACACTTCTGAGAGAGTAGCTGTGGGTGTGTGACGTGGGAGGCTGCAGTTTTCAGAGGCACAAGCATGGTTTCACTTACGTGTGGGACATAAGGAATAGCATGGAGGACACTAGGAGAAGGAAAGGAAAATGAAGGGGGGGAAATCAGAGGGGCAGATGAACCATGAGAGACTACGGACCCCAGGAATCAAACTGAGGGCTTTGGAGAGGGATGGGTGAGGCCCGTGATGGGTATTAAGAAGGGCATGGATTGCAAGGAGCACTGGGTGTTGTACGCAATGAATCTTGGAACACTGCATCAAAAACTAATGACATACTGTATGGTGACTGACATTAAAAAAAAAAAAAAAAAGAAGTGGAGCTGCTTGTCCTGGAGAGTTTATTGGAGGGCGGACTGAATTTTCTGCTCTGGGCCAGAGCTTTGGCTGTGGCCATTTTTGCTCTGATCCCCTCAAGAGGTGCAGAAAGCCTCCAGGGAAAAAAAGAGGCACAGAAGACTGGTTTCCATTGAGCTCACCCCCCTGATGGGGGTGGAGCCTCTCTGCCCAGGCAGGGATACCTCAGAAACATTGCGGCAGGAGACAGGCTGGAAGAACAGGTAGATGACAATACTTTGGATCCTATAAGACTGTAAAATCCCAATGCCAGGGGATAAATGTGCATTGAACTCCAAGTGTGGCCTAATGCCTGGTTCATTTTTCAGATATAATTCTCCTTTTCTTTTTTTTTCTCCTTTTCTCATGACATTTCCCCCTGCTGTATTTTTCTTTATACCTTCTCCTCATTTTAACTAGATGTCTATTATACCAACTCATTTTTCATGGTCACTTTTTGAACTTGTAGTTTTATACACCTATATTTTTTATAGTTATATGCTTTATTTTAGCCTGTGTTTCACTCTACTCAGTTTTTCCTTTTTATATATACAAGTTTTACTTTCCTAGTAATTTTGGGGCATAGTGTCCTCTAACACACAGATCAAAATACAACCAGGAACAACTAAAGCACCCTGCTTTGTCTACATGGAAAGATTGTAGCCCCCTTACTCCTCCCCCCTTTTTTCAAGTCTATTTTTATTTAAAATTTTAAAAATCTTTTCAACTTTAAAATTTTACTCTTGGGTTTCATTTTGGCTTTGTATTTTCGGTGGTGGTGTCTGACCACTCTGGATTTTGCTAGGGTGCATCTGGCTTGGGTCATGGTTGACATTTTGGACTGTGTCCCTTTGCTCCACCAGCCCTTGACAGAATGATTAGAAAGAGGAACTCTCAACAAAGAACCAGAGACAATGGCCTCTGCCACAGAACCAGTGGATATAAGCAGGAGGTCAGACATAGACTTCAGGAAAGCAATCATGAAGTCAATAGCCAGGTTTGAAAAAAGCATTAGTGATAATATAGAATCTCTAAGGGCAGAAATGAGATCTAATCAGGCCAAACTTAAAAATGCTATGAATGAGATGCAGTCTAAACTGTATACTCCAAAAGACAGGGTGAATGAGGCAGAAGAATGAATTAGTGATCTAGAACACAAGCTGATAGAAAGGAAGGAAGCTGAAGAAGATAGGGATAGAAATTAATAAAATTATGAATGAAAAGGGAGAGATCACAACTAACACCAAGGAAGCAGAAACAATCATCAGAAGTTATTATCAACAGTTATATGCCAATAAGCTAAGCAAACTAGATGAAATGGATGCATTCCTAGAAAGCTATAAACTCCAAAAATTGAACCAGGAAGAAATTGACAACCTTAATAGACCAATATCTAGTAGTGAGATCGAAGCAGTGATCAAAAACCTCCCAAAAAAACAAGAGCCCAGGACCTGATGGATTCCCTGGAATTCTACCAAACTTTCAAAGAAGAAATAACACCTATTCTTCCGAAGCTGTTTCAAAAAATTGAAGCAGAAGGAAAATTTCCAGACTCTCTCTATGAAGCCAGCATTACCTTGATCCCCAAACCAGGCAAAGACCCTACCAAAAAGGAGAATTTCAGACCAATATCCCTGATGAATATGGATGCTAAGATTCTCAACGAGATCCTAGCAAATAGGATCCAACAGCACATTAAAAAGATTGGGGGAAATTGGAAGGGGAGGTGAACCATTAGACACTACGGACTCTGAAAA